AAATCAGAAAATAAAATACAAGCTGAATAGTCAAGATCTTGTTGATGATCCAAGCTCTGTAAAGGACCTTGGAATACTCACTTCTAATGATCTAAGTGCTAGAGCCCACTGCAACTACATAGCCAAAAAGGCATTAAGAGTTGTTAACCTAATCCTACGTAGCTTTTTCTCTGGTAATATCACACTACTAACTAGAGCATACAAAACATTTGCTAGACCAATACTCGAATACAGCTCATCAATCTGGAACCCACATTACGTATCCGATATTAGCACAATTGAGAAAGTCCAGAAATATTTCACAAGAAGAGTTCTCCACTCCTCTACTCATTGTAGAATACTTTATGCCACCAGATGTGAAATTCTAGACCTAGAAAACCTTGAATTACGCCGTCTTCGGTCTGATTTAAGCATGGTATATAAAATCATACATTGCAATGTCCTACCTGTCAAGCTTCAACCATAACAACACAAGAGCACACAATAGATACAAACTCAAGGTTAACCGCACCAAACTTGATTGCAGGAAATACGACTTCAGCAACAGAGTGGTCAATGTCTGGAATACTCTACCCGACTCTGTAGTTTCTTCCCCAAACCCCAAAAACTTTAACCTTAGACTGTCTACTATTGACCTCACCCCTTTCCTAAGAGGTCTCTAGGGGGCGTGCATAAGCGCACCAACGTGCCTACCGTCCCTGTCCTATTGCTTCTTTTATTTTTATTTTATTTTTCTTATATGTACCCATTTCATCTATTCATAACTATGTATACACTTATACTTATTATCTTGTAAACAATTGACAAATCAAATAAATAAATAAAAACTCTGCTTTCCAGACCTGATAAAGCAACTAACTTTTTCTGGATTTCTAAAAGTGAGGAAGGAACGGGCCCATTCAAATATCTGGAAGGATACTATTTCAAGGAGGGAGGCAGCAATTGAAAAGGTGTTCTTTGGCATCTTTGGATCACAATCTCTAAATGAGGGTACAGGTATCTACTCATGTTATTGGATCTTGTCAGGCAGGTAGAACACACAGGGAGGTGTTATTACTGTGTTCAGGCTCTGGACCATGAAGGGTTTTACATGTGGCAGTAATCTAGTAGTAACCAATGACACTCTCGTAGAAGAGATGTTATATAGCATACCAATTACTAGTTGAGATGAGTTGGAGGACTTGTCATCTCTTAAATACTGTCAACTGTCTAGAATAACAATATACTTCTAAATTCTAAAATGTAGGACATGATTGTTTGGGTGTATGGAGCCCTAAAATATAATTTTAGGGCTAGAAATATTGCAACATCTTGGCATAGAGAAAAATTACTATTGTGGCTTTATATGCATTATTCTCTAGTTCTGTTATATTGTCTATTGTGCTTATACCTTTGCAATAATGATATACCATAATGCTAACAAATAATAAAGAAAAGGCATTAACATACATACATAGCTTGAATCAGTGAATCAATGAATCAGTTTTCCTGTGGACTATTTATTATTTCTGAGGCAATCATTAAGGTCTGACAGTATAGTCCAGTATACTGTACTTAATTTAATTTCAGTTGAGAAATCCTTATTAATTTGGGTTCATATTTTTTAAAAAATCTCACGTATGATGTATGCAAATGCTCATACATTTGTTGTATTTATTAAAGATATATTCTGTTCTAAAAAAACATTCCTGAGGCGTATGTATATATTATAATATGAGCTTGGTGTAGTATAATAGCTTGTAGGTCCCTTTCATTCATTCATTTATTCATCTAATAAAGGCTCCCATGGAAACCACAGAATTAAATCTATAATTTAAATGTAATAGAAAAGTGTTTACTAAATAGCTTAAAATAGTAACAAATTATAAAAAGAATTTATAATGGCTACTAAGTTGAACTTATATCCAAGATGCAATTTTAAAATAAAGATGATCAATAAGAGCTATGGAAAGTTGAATAGACTGAGATTTTAAAAATCCATTGGGCCTGAAAAATCAATAACATAGATACCTGAAAAACTCACAGAAAAGGCATTCCAGAATTGTTAAGTAATCAATAAAAACCCTGCTCACAGGTTAGTTATATGTCTCTACTGAATATGAAGACTGTTTTGGCAGGTCTTCTGTTTGTGAAGCATGAGTAGGAAACTAGAGGAAGTCCTCAACTTACGATCACAATTGAGCCCAAAATTTCTGTTGTTAAGTGAGAAATTTGTTGAGTTTTATCCCATTTTACGATTTTTCTTACCACCTTTGCTAAGTGAAAGTACAGTTGATCAATTAGTAACAAGTGAATCTGGTTTCCCCATTGACTTTGCTTGTGAGAAGATCCCAAAAGAGGTATCACATGACTCCGGCACATTGCAACCATCATAAAAATGAGTCAGTTGCTAAGCGTCTTAATTCTGATCACATGATCATGGGAATGTTGCAAAGGTCGTAACTATGAAAAACGGTTCTAAGTCACATTTCTCAACGCCATTGTAACTTTGAACGGTCACTAAATGAACTGTTGTAAGTCGAGGTCTACTTGTATAGAAAACTGTAGCCTTCAAATTTTGTCGCTTTAATTCATGAAGAACTTCATAGGTTAAAAGTAAAAGTTAGTCTTAGTCTGGAAAGAATCCAGGAGTCATTGATTGCACAATAATGATGGAATGGTTGCAAATCTAGTATCAGTACTTCCACTAATGCATCTTCTGTCAGTTGAAGTTTCCTAGTTTCACCCACTAGAAAGTTTGCCGTGATCCTCCAATAACCAACAATTTCTTATATTCTGTGTGTATCAAGTATTATTTCCCTTATCTTTAAAATTTTTACCATTTATAATTTAGAGAAATTAAAATTAATGTGACAGTTGTACTAGATGTGATCCTGATGCTTCCTGGCTCTTTTGTGGGAAAAGTGTAAGCCTTTTGAGCTTTAAGGCTCTTCTGAGCTCATTTGTTTCCCATCATTTAGGAAAACAAATTAATTGTTGAGCTCATGATTCATCATAGCTTGAGTTTGAATAAAAAATTCAACTAGTTTTCAAATTAGTGCTTATGATTAGTGATTCAATATCACTACATAAATAAGGTAATATTTATGACACATTTTAATGCAAAGGCTTCTTGCTTTGGTACAATATAATCTATATTATAAGTAATCTTGCCTACATCACTGTGTAACATTTTGAAATTAGTGAAGATGTTTTTAATCTTCTGGGTTTTTAAAACTTTCTAAAATTCCTTGGATTGTCTGTATCTCTCTTTAAGCTATAGTGTTATATTTTACTTGCTTAACTTTTTAATGACTTCAGAGTACTGCATTATTTGAGCGCTACCGTGTGGATACTAGTGCTAAAGATGACATTTCACAAATGAATTCTCAGATTTAGTATATGTCTCTTTAATAGAAGAAGTATCTATACTTTGTTTATAGTAATAAGGCATATATTGCTGACTCTAGCAAGTTACTGATTTATAGCGGTATACAGGTAATTTGTTAATAGATTTTCAAATATGGTAAGAACAAATGCTGTACTTCTGAACTGAAATAATTAAAAAAATTTAAAATATCAGAAATTAATTTAAAATCTAATTGTTACTTAAATTTTATTGATATCAAATTAATACTATACAAAATAAAGTCCAACTCTGAACTGTTCAGAAATATATTATTGATGGTCTGTTTTTTATTATAAAAATAAAATTGTCTTGAATAAAACAACCCTATGATGCAGATGAAGCACCTGAAGGCAAGGCAAGAAGCAATAGATGGAAACTATTCAAGGAGAAAACTAACCTAGTACTAAGGAGAAATTTCTTGACACTTAGAACGATTGATCGGTGGAATGACTTCCCCCCAGAAGTTGTGGGTGCTCCAAGACTGAAGGTGTTTAAGAAGATATTGGGCAACCATTTATCTGAAATGGTATAGGATTTCTTGCTAGAGCAGGGGTTGGACTATAGACCTCCAAGGCTCCTTCCAACTCTGTTATTCTGTTAAATTGTGCTCACAAGTTGATATTTATCTGTAATGTGATGGGAAAGGAATACATACCTTATCAATCAATCAAATGTTTATTGTCAATGCACAACATGTATACAATGAAATTGAAATGAGCTTCCTTGGTGCTGCCCTGCAAGTCTATCATGTTAAACCTATTATTAGGATCCTGAAAGAAAATATATCATGCTTTGTAAGACAGCTGTTGAATTTCTTATTGAAAACTTTAAAGATTTTGTTTCTCAGTTAATGGAATGAAGGTTTAGGTTTTTCTCTAATATAAAATCGAGTGTGTCTTCTTTTTTTTGCCTATATATTAATTTAACACAATTATTTAAGCTGCTCACTACTAATGATAACATTACTATAATTATTGAAAATGTTCAGAATAAAAATCTTAACATAATAGAATGCTGATATTCACAATAGTACCCCCAAAAAACCAAAAACAACCCTAACGCCAATGGTAGTTGTGTAGCCATGAAGAAAAATCCAAATCCAAATAGGCAGTACCTTTATTTAGCCAACTGCATTTTGCAAAATTATTGAGATCTTTCCAGAGATCTTGGAAGCAAAAAATGTATTAATGACAAACTTATGTCAATACCGCTTATTAAACATATAAATGTGTGGTTCCTAAACATTTGTTTTACTTGTTTAAGTTTTTTATTTCTATTTTGTCATTGTTCTAATTGTCAAAACAGGAAAAGTAAATTGTAGAATAAGCTGTTACCTATAGAATGCAATTGATCTTTTGTGGGAAGGTAATAATTTGCTTCCATCATTTTTATTTTTATCTTATTTTTATGTACCTACTGAAAATTCTTAATATTTATAAATAGGAAAAGAATTGTTAAAATCTGTTACTGTCAGTCAATGATATTATTATCCTGATGTCCTAGTTATGAGAATAAGGAATTCTAGTTTCCAAACAAGGTAATTGAGAAGATACTAAAACTGTTGTCAAGATATTTTAATATTTTCTTTATGCTTTTTAGAGATTTGGTCTTGCTGGGACAAGTAATGTAGAATTACCACCTGCTGAACCAGGAATGTACCAGTTGGATATTACATTAAGACGAGGTACTAATTTAGCAGTTCGTGATCGAAGAGGTAAGAATATGCTAACAAAAATGTTCTAAAATATCTAGTTTCCTAAAGACTGAGATGTATCTGATAAATAGTAATACTGCTATTACATCACTTCATATATTTGTTAATGATAACTTTCCCCTTAACATAAATATGTTTAGCAACTTATAAAACAGACAGCTAGAGTGGATAGTAAATTTCTATCAAACGTATTTCCCTTATATCTGCGTTTTCCAAATTTTATAAGACATTCTGGCCCCAGAATGTAAAGACATGTTTTTTTAAAACATGAGCAGAATTATACATATTCACTCTCTGACTTGGTCCTGGATTGGGAACCATGCATTGGTAATTCAAGACTTTAATCCCAGAATTTATAAATAGTGGAAAATGAAGTGGCTAAAGGGCAGAAGAACCAGTATTGGCTGTCAGTTAGCTGTTAAGTATGTTCAATTAATTGTTTTGTGACTAGATGCATACACACTTTTGATGACGTTGTGTTGGTATCTATTGTGTTGGAATATGTTATATTTCTATAGTTGAATGTAGGTCAGATTTGTGATAAATGGAGATTAGAAATGGGATCGTTTACCACTGAAGCAATCATTTCTTTTTAGATCACTGTGTGTTCTGCTTTGTCAGTTTAATACCAACTAATATTGGCAATTCTGTGAGTCTTCAAATAGATATAGGAAGAGCAGAATCAAAGAGGCAAAACATGACGAGAATTCTATTGCAATTGGTTGGTTGTTACAATTGGAAATCAAGTTTTTTTTAAAAAAAGATTGCATTTGGCTTTTTTATTCTTAACTCTTAAAGCTGCTCTGATAAAATGGAAAATCCTTTAATGAGATTGTAGTTTGATTTCATAGATACCATAGGCATATACCAACATTAGCTGTTAATATGCTAGTTTTTATGTTAACTGATATTTTGACAAAAGCAGACATCTCTCTTTGGTAATTTTAATCCCATTTCACAGCCTTTTGCTTTATGCTTTGGGAATATATAATAATAAGCAATTCAATGAGATACAGTAGTCTGCTCACTAACAAGTTTAACACATTTTAAATCACCTTATTTACTTTGCAATAGATAACTATCTCAGATAGTTTCACAGCTGACTTAGACTAAATGAAATTTGAAAAGCTTTGCTTTGTGAATTCTAAAAGGATAGGGCTTTCAAACTGTTTAAAACTAACTATGAATATGACAGTATTGTAATATAGTAAGTGTTTGCTAAGGTTAGTTTTCTATTCCTTTTGGTTTGTGTTTATGTGGAGCCTCTTGGATAAATCTTTTAGATTTGGTTAAAAATGAAGATCAGGTCGTGGAAAATATGTGTTTTCATTAACCTATAGGCTGCTGTTCTAAGATCCTTGTTAAAAAAAGTTGATTCACCATTTCTGAACACTGCAGAAGAGGTATTTACAAAGATAGGTCTGCTAGCAGAGACATGACTTCCCCAGATACTGTTTGCCAGCTTGCAGGTTATATTTGGTCCCTACTTAATAGTTAGGAAATCTCTAATGTCACATCTATAATATTAATGTTAACTGTATTTATCATTAATCTTTGGAATGATGTTTAATTTTGCTTGCCACATTGATTGATTGTCTGACCAGAAATATGTGAGTTTAAATGAAATATATAAATTATGTGAAATGCAAATAACTTGCTGCTTTATTAGGTAATTACTTTTGCATGACTGTTTTAATTCTTGAGTTCTTTCAGCTGAATTATAAGATTGACTATTCATGTGTTCTGTTTATTGACTGAAAATTGTATTTAATTCATTTTAGTTAATGAGTGATCACTTTGTGTGCAACGTTTTATAGAACACAAAAGAGATGTGCAGATGAAGAGGAAAGTTTCTTTTTCTATTTTTCTTTTTTTATAAAAGTGTTGTTTTAATTGTGTAGATGTGTTCATTTTACTTACATAGTATATTTAATAAAATTGATGAAAAAGAAGGATATTTATGACTTCATAAAGGTACAATCTAAAATTCACTACATGGGGAAAAACTGGAAGATGAAAAGTAAAATTTGTCAAGACTCTTAATTAGCATTCTTCTGTTCTTTTGAAGTTTTTGGATGTCATTGGATGAGAGTTGATACAAATGAAAAGTCATATTATATAATAATAAATAAGATCCCAGCAAAATTATTCTGCAAATTATGTGATAAAATTATGAATCAGCACTCTAATTCACCCATTTCTAGCGAATAACATTTGCTGTTTTAATATGTAGTCTGGTGAATTGTTTGTCAGAGAGGATCAGATCATGTAATTATGAAGAATCTAAAATTTTGCCAGTAATATTGTCAGAATGATAGTTCTGAGAATCATAAATGATTCTATGTATACATTGAGTACTGTATATAAAAGCTTAGAATTACTAATAGAAGAAATTGAGAAAATTATGGCAATATGTTATTCATTAAGTAAGGTTAATAATCAATAGCATGATTTCTCTTGAAAAATGAACTCTATAACAAAATGCTATAAGGACCATTTTAAAACAGACCAGAAAGTAAGGTTACAAACTAGTGAATATTTCAACTCCGTAAAACAGTAGTTTTGTTGTTGCACAAACTTAACTTTATATAAAATTTATTTCAACAGAATTCAGCAAGATAGTGGTCACATAATTGTATATTGGATGAAATTGATGTAGTCTAAATAGTTTCTCAAAATAACGGACCTGTTATTTGTTTATTTCTTTTCTGTTTCATGGTAATTGATACGTAAGGTGGCAGTTCATTTGATTGCTATGAATTGAAGAAAAGGTTCAGTAACTGTATGCCATCAGAAGAAGTATAAGAAAGGTATAGGAAAAGCTGGAAAAAATCTGGTGCTGCTTATAATGCTTCAAGGTTCTTATATAGAACAAGAATTATTCCCATTATTTATTCATTGTATGTATTATATGATTTGACACATGACATATACAATAAATATTAATGCCGTAAATAATACTGTGGGGGTAAGTCAAGGATTACCTGTATGCAACTTAACCAATTCTCCTGGATTTGCATAAGGCCTCTTATTAACATTATTTCATTCTTAAAATCAAATTTTATTCTTCCAGCAATTTGTAAATATATCAAACATGGTATATTTCAACTTATCCTGAATAATTTTTACTAATGTGTTTAATCTATGATTTATGGACATCTGTTAATAGGATTGGGTCTAATATTGACTACAGGATTGTGTTTTATGAGCCGATGATTTGTGCAGGTTTGTAACTGAGTGTCAAAAGAAAGAATTTTGCTGTCATACTGCCACCATGTGCTCAGGAAAGACTTTTGCTGTTATAGTTGCTTTCAGGTTCTTTTTTAATAGTGAGACGAAAAATACTTTAAAAATATATTTTTAAATAAAGTAACAATTGCCATATTAGAATACAGAATAAAAAACCATTAAATATTTCGATTAATATTAGAAGTCTGCTTGAAACATTGGTTACTCAAACAACTTACTTTGCATATTTGCATTTTGAATTAAAATTGAAATGAATGAAATATGTTAAACACAGGCTATATTTATTATGGACAACTTACTCAGATTTATATTTACATGGCATGATACTTTTAATGGTAAATATTGATTAAATCACATCAGTGTAATTTCTAAATTTCGTTTACCTTCTAAATAATACATGCAAATATATGTCTATACACTTTTGCTCATGTGCATATTTTATTGCAGGATTAAATGTTGTAATTGGCTATTTAAATTCTGTGATACATTCTGAATCCAGTGAATATTCTAAATATTCTATTTTCATGTAAAGTTATTCAGCGATCAGGCGATAATTTGATAGATAGCGTATAAACACAGGTGTTTAAATTCAGTGTAAAACAAATATAGATATTAAACTACTGCTTCCGTGTTTTTCGTATTGCTTGATTTACCTCAAATATTTTGTTTGTTTCTGTTGCATAATGTTTAGAATCTTTTAGTTATTGAGAAAGAGGCTAATAAAAGATATTTCCAGTGTTTGGCAAAACGGAGAATCTTAATTTCACTTTGTTTTTACTTAACCTGATTATACACTGGAAGATAATTTTGCCTTGTCATTGCCTGATGAAACATTACAAAAATATAAATTGTATTTATGCAATGATTTTTACTAAGTGAAAATGCATTCCAAGTTGCTCTTATTCACAGTAATGTGCAATATGTATGCAGTGCTTACTTTAAAGTAGAAATTAAGACTCTTTGCAACCATTAAATTTTTTAAAATATAAAACAGCAGATATTTTATTTTAGGAATTGCATATTTTGCTTTATGAATTAATGTATGAGGTCTTAGTTTATTCTCTTTTTCAGGAATATTTTTAAGTGCTAATTTTAAGGAAACTGTATAAAATCACTTATGCAGTTTCATGATATCCACCGTATACGGTAAAACCTATATGTATAATAAAGTAAGGAAAATAAATAATAAACATATGGTAACAACCAATACATAATACACAGCCTTCCTGTCATATAATTACCAAGTCTTGAGTTTCAAAGAAAATCAATGTATAGAATTGATTCAATCTCTTATTTTAATCTTTGAAAAATATTTGTTACTCAAGTCATCTAAAAAGAGAAAACTAGCTGCTTATTGTTTTTATGAGCTCCCAATAACATCTAGTTTTTATATATAACCTTCACTTTTGTTTCAGGAACAAGTGATCCATATGTCAAATTTAAACTTGGTGGAAAAGAAATCTTTAGAAGTAAAACAATCAGTAAGAATCTTAATCCTGTTTGGGAGGAAGGAACTTCCATTCTTATTGAACACTTAAGAGAGCAATTATATATAAAGGTAAGCTGCATCCAGTTCTCCTTAAAAATATCAATAATGGTATATCATACTGATCTCATAGCTTAATCTTATTACAAAAATATTGTTAAAAGACACAATACAACATCCTTATTAAAATTGTAATAGTCATCAAAATATACAATAAAATAAAGTCTTTATAACTTTGATTAATGTTTGGTAAATTATGCCAGCCAGAAAAAGAAATAGTAAAATAGAACTTTAAAGGTGTATTTTATAAAAACGAGTACATGAACTTTGAGACCAGTTAGTTTGCATTATCGTCTAATAATAGCATGCCTCATGTATCTATTGGTGTAAACGTTGGCTTGTTAAGTTTATGAAATCTGCTTTTATTAATTAAAGTGCTGTTTGTTCATCTTAGGTTTTTGATTATGATTTTGGACTTCAAGATGATTTCATGGGGTCAGCTTTTTTGGACCTGAATTCCCTAGAACAAAATAGGTATTTTATGAAACTCATTGAATTTCATGATGTATTTCTTTCTATTTCAATGTGACTAGGGATACATAGAATGAAAAAGAATAAGCTGAATGCTATACTACCAATACTAGTTAAATTAAAAGTTACTACAGTACTTATCACAAATTTACGAAAAGAGAACTTGCCTTACTTCGGTTTTAAATCTTTTAAACTTACTTTGGGAGCATTTCAAACTGGAAGAGTACAATGTTTGAACTTAGATGATCAGCTATAGTGGAGTCTCCATATTTGTGGTGGTATGTGTCCATCATATTCTTATCCAAATGGCCCCAGATATTTTCTACATAGGTCTGAACACTTGCAGAGATAAAAGCAACAGGCAATAATGGGGAGTTGAAGTGGAGGTAGTCCCTTACCTTGGAATAAACAAGTCTTGGAGTTGGAAAGGACCAAGCTGGGAATGGCTTGGACCATGGTGGTTGCTTGGCTAATGACCAGTAGAATTGAATTAATGACAGCTAAAGGGATTGCTGGGATTGCATTGTTAAGCAGCGCAGTCACATGGTGTCGTATTTTGTATTCTGTCACTTAGTGACAGAAATTCTGTTCTCGGTTGCCATTGTAACTCAACTACCTATTTACATTGATTTTACTAAATATTGAAAGTTTGGGAATGGAAAAATATCCAAACTTTCAAGTATTTTATAAAAGTTTGTACAGAGCAAAGTTTCTTGTCTAGGATAATGTGAACATTGTGTTCCTGTCATTTTAAGATGTCGGACAGTCCTTGGTATACATTGAGAGCTTTATCCATAACAAAAATCCTTCTTCTTGCTTTACATTCCTCATTGTTTATTTAGTGAAGTAGACAGAAAGCAAACATAACTCATGACTTCTTAAACTCTTTATCCCGAGGTAGGCAGTCTGTAAAAGCATCAATTTTAGTGTTTTCATTTTTCTATTGACCTATTTTTCTAGGCCTGTTGATGTTACCTTGAGTCTGAAGGACCCACATTATCCTGACCAAGATCTTGGGACTATACTGTTAACCATGTTGCTGATCCCAAAAGAGCAGCAGAGGGAAGGGGTAAGGGTATGCTAAATAAGTCATATAAGCAAAACTTCTAAGTTTCTAATAGGCCTATAAATGTCTGAACTTGTATCTGTCAAGAAGCTAATTAAAAGAGTAATTTTTTTTCTGAGTCTGTATTTAAATGAATGTATGCAATTGAATACCACGTTCTAAACATTTGCAGCTAGGGATGAACTTTTGTGATGGATTGGACTATAATATAATTATAATGAGATGCTAATAGAACAGAACATATAGTTAGTATAGAATATATTTCATGCAAAGAAAGTCAAATCTAGGATTTTGTTTTCAAGGTCAATTTACCGTGAAACTCACCATTCAAGAAACAAATAGTGAACAATTTCAGAAAAAAAATGAAATGCCTCACCATTTGTTTGAAAGTACTGTAACATGCACAGGCCAAAAAAAGAGGCCAGAAGCAAGAATTGCTTTATTAAGAATTGGTAACAAACTAATCTGATGCTTGGAATAAAAAAGTCATCTTGTTCAAATATTCATAAGTAAATATCTTTAAACTGATATGTCAGAAAAAACATTATTTGGAAATATGAGTCCAACTATCTCTTCCTAGGTAATATTATTCAATATTTTTATTACTTCGCCTTTAGGAGAGAGAACCAGCACAGCCCTGAAAAATGTCCCAAAGTTGTTACCAGATTAAAATCTGTAATATGACAGAATGAAGTGAAGTTATTAAATGCTATATGTAACTGCGTTACATTTAAATGGAATCAGATTTTTACTCTGCCTCACTTACAGCTTTTTTTTAATGAGCCATGCAAATGCCAAGCACAGCCTTTCAGCAAGATTTAAGGCAATTCTGCCTATTCTGTTTCACTCCTACAACCATCAAGATACAGGATCAATTAGGCTGAGAGATAGTGACCTACTCAAAGCCACCTACTGAGGCTATGTACTTGAATGTGATTCTGGGTCTTCCTAATCATAATTCAATATCTTAACTTCTGTACCATTTTATCACTCTCACAATTGTGCAAAATTTTAGAAGAGAAAAATGGTTATGGAATGTCATTCTTTGTTATCTGTGAAAAATTAGTAGATATCTGCCATTGTATACTTTTCAAATTAGTCAGCTTTTGTGTTACAGTAATTTGGAATTAAAAATTTATAGTATGGAAGAATTTTCATCAGATATTTATCCTATATGTTGTCAAAACAAATTAAATTTTTATTACCTGATATCAACAATCCAGTCATACTGTAATGGTGACTTGAAAAGTATCAGAAATAGGATAAAAATATTGAAAATTTGAGTTTGTAGTACTTCAAAACATGTGGAATGGAAGAGCATTTCATTACAAGTTTTTGCCATGTATAGTGTATGATTTTAATAACATATATCTCATAATGAATGTAAAATGCCAAAAAGCCAATGCATGGTTGCCTGAGACATAAAGAATCTTGATGTAGGCCATATTATGTTGCATAATATGATAGAATGGTTATATGCTAATTTATTATTAGGTTGAAAGTAGATTTCATTGTAAAAGGATTGATTAAAATTAATATTATGCTCTGTACATGTTCACAGAGACACATTGATTAAAATAGATGTAAGTGTAAGTATTCATGAATTAATGAACGTTCAAATAGATTAAATTCAAATCCATCTTAACAAATACATGTTAAAGTGTTTTGGAAAATTGAAATATCAAGTACATGTTATAGATCATGTTTTTTATGAATATGTTTCTGGTCATAGAAGCAAAAGAATAACATATTTTCAATTGAAGGGAAAAGAATTGAATCATTGAAGTGTTAGATTAGGAATTAATGATGGAGTTTTAATGGTGCTAAAAAGGACAGCAGAAACATTCTGTTTGGCTAATGGAGTACTGGTAGCTGAATAAAAAACTATTTTTGGTTTGTTCTACACCAGTTAAAACTTCTCATAGTTTAAGAGATGACATGCTTTCAAAATGTTTTTAATTTATTTTAACAATTAAAATATAATTAAAAACTTTTCTATATTTGGGAGTAGATGCTTAGATTCTTCATGTGGTCTCCATGATTCAGACATATCATGACAACATGCAGTCTTCTAGAATTACATAATTTATTGGTGGGAACACTTCTTCATAGCATGGATATGCAACTTTTGTTGAATCTCTTCGGTTTGTTTTCAGTTTCTGCAGTGAATATAGTCATTCTCACAGTTGATTCATTCATTCTCTCAATGCTTCTAGAATTTTCACTTCTCACTTCTTTTTACCTTGTTCTACTTTAATTTTAATTTAATGTTTAAATTAAATTAATCTTCCAGACTTTAACACAAGCAGCTTCATATACCTCTTCGTGTCCTTTGTAATTTACACTATTTGTATAATGATATCACAATTATACAAATTATATGATTTGCATCTTACATAATTTGCATAGTAGCATTAATCAAATGATGTTTTAGTGTAATACCAGTATCATGCTGCCTGCTATTATTTTCCTCATGATATCAGCAACAGATGTAATCCGTTTCATTTGTGTAATGTCCTTATGTAAATTAAGTGATATGATTTGCATTACTGTGATAATGTAGGTTTTCAATTTATTCAACTTATTTCCAAAATTTCTCCCAATTTGTTAAAACAAGGTTTTATTGGCATTTTTCATGCATGAGCAATTTTTGGTCAAAGGCTACAAGCCCTTGTACAGGTAGTTCTTGCTCATCCATTCAAAATTATGACCATTCTGAACAAAGGGTTCTTACAACTACTACTTGTAGTTGCAGCATAGACCATGGTATTGTTCTGACCCAGCCTTTGCAAGCAATGAGAAACCAGTTACTCATGAATAAAACAAACCCCTTTATTCAAATGGGGAAGGAACAGTCTTATCACTTCAGATAAATAACCCCAAAAGTAATTAGTCACAAATGAAAGTCTTTCCCCCTTCTGAAACAGGGCAAGAACAGTCTCTGTACACATGAGAACTCAAGATAGAAACTCCTTTCAATGATTAAGCCAAGCAGAAAGAGTCCCTGTTCACACAGGCTGAGACAAATTCACTCCCTGTTATTTCTCAGCAGGCAGATTCAATTGGCACCTCAAATTCAGACAAACCTGGTTCTGGCAAAGGACTCCAACTGGATTGATGTACACTGGAAAATGAATTGTTTTCTGCAACTACAGGCCATTCCCAAACCCCTACTTATTTCCCAGCCAGAGAGGAGCTGGCTAGCGTCTACGACTTCTGTTTCCTGAGAGCTGGCTTATTGCCTTCCATTGCTCTCCTCTCCATGCATACACGTATCTGGTATGCACCCATCTGTTCCTCCTCCTCCTCACTCAGCTCAGGCCCCAAAGACAGCTGCCTCCCTGGGGGTGGACAGAAGGCTTATGCATCTGCCTCTGATTCTGTTTCCTCATCAGAGCCTTCCAAAGGCTCCGAACCTGGCCTAGGCTCCCCCTCCTCCTCGTCTGACTCTGCTGCTAGTTTTGCTGGCAGCTGATAGGCCACCACAGGTAGTGTCCCTGTGGTCACATGTTCATGATTCAGGAGCCTGGCAACCGGCTCATAATTATGACTTTGCAATATCTTGCAGCACATAATTGCATTTGCAACCTTAACCACAGCCGCCAATAAGCAAAGTCAAAGGGAAACTGGCAGAAGGTTGCAAATGATGATTACGTGATCCTGAGATACTGGGTTATCATGTGAGATTTGCCAAATGACTGCAACTGCTGGAAGTGCTATCATAAGTCAGTACAGTCACATGATACCTTATGATCACATTGCTTCACAGTAAAGTTCCTAATCCCAACTACCATCCGTGAGCAAGGACTACCTGTATATGCTTTTTAAAAAACTTTGTTTCTATGGCTCTGAAGGCTCCATTGTGGCTATACTAATTTTTGCATTCTTGGATGGACACAGCTATTGCTTTTCTTAGGCTGAGAGAGGACTTAAAACAAACTTTTGTAAATAATATAATTCCTCTTTTTGCCTATGAGTTTCTCCTTGGAGGTGAACAGTGGTGGGAGATGCTAGGGTATAATAGTGTCTTGTCATGAAGTGTTTCACCAACCCTCCTAAGATCAGGAAGAAGCTTTGCCAGAAGTAGATCTGGTGTTGTAAAGGCCTAACAAAGAAATACAGAGAGCAACCAACTGTACCCTGTTCCATGACTTTGACTTAGTGTCTCCTTCACTCAGCCCTCAAACATCTAGATAACAGACATGGTAACACTGAAGACATAATTGCAGAGGAATTCTGAGATATGCTAGCAAGATTAATATGTGAGAAAACTAGATCAGACAAGGATTATCAAGGTCAAACATAAATTTGGTTCATTTAGTGTAGCTAGAACAATGAGGTTGTGATAATCTTTTGTCGGTTCTTTTGTGAAGATTTCCTTTTTATTGCTGCCTTAAATTCTGATGACTTTGTGTTTGGGTAAAATTCTTTTGTTGCTTGTTCTTATACACTATAAATCTGTTTTATCAAAATGTTACAAGTTTGGGCTAGATTTATGATTTTGAAGAAAAGTTTATTGTTCTAATTGCTCACATATACAAATACTTGTTGCAAGATCAGGACACTCCTTTTCTTCATCCACTCCCTTTCTTCATCTTTCTACAATGCTTGAAAAGTGGCTGGGGACTTCTGGTACATCCCTATTCCTTTGGGAATTCTCTGGATTCTGCAATTTTGTTGTTGGCACAAGGAAAAAAAAGTTGTATATCATCAACGTTTGCTAAATTTGCTAAAACACACATCCCTCCAAAATCTGTGACCATGATTAAATAAGAAAACGAAAAGACCTCTACTCCAAATACTGAGCCCTGTATTTGTGGATCTTTTACCCTGCCATCCTCCATCCTTTTACCCTGCCATCCTTTCCTCCATCTTCAATCCTGCCTACAATTCTATTGTCCATTCAGATTTAGGCCTCAATTTTAAAGGAAGAAACCTGTAATTGAAGTGCCCAAGATCTTGTTCTCTATACCAGAAACAGAGCTCTTCTGTTCCTCCATCTCAGGATTTTAGTGATAAAAGGAAATCCCATTATGTTGATCCTGATTTTAGGAAATGACAGTCCCTAGTTTCTCTTGGTTCCATGACCTCTTGTTAACTGATGCTTTCTTCCGGGACTGAACATTGTCCTACACGTCAAGCCTTTATTGATCTTGATTAATGCATACTGGTTCACTGGAGTAGCCCTTTATACTATAATACTAAAAAAATACAGGTTCAGATATCAGCTGTGATTTATACTTGTTCTTTATCTAGGCTTCATGATTATAATCTTAACTACAGTTATTTATTTATTTATTTATTTTATTTAATTTGTCAATTGTTTACAAGATAATAAGTATAAGTGTATACATAGTTATGAATACATGAAATGGGTACATATAAGAAAAATAAAAGAAAAATAAAAGAAACAATAGGACAGGGACGGTAGGCACATTGGTGCGCTTATGCATGCCCCCTAGAGAGACCTCTTAGGAAGGGGGTGAGGTCAATAGTAGACAGTCTAAGAAAAACTCCTTAAGTCAAGAGACTGCTGTAGTATCACTTTTATAGATCTCTTTGATCTTGGGATGTTTTTCAGTGCAGTTTTCACACCTGAGTTCCACTGCGTGCATAGCTTTGGCTAAGATCATTCTCCACTATCAGGGAATCAGTCTTCTATCTTCAGATGCTCTTCAGCAATCTTCCAACTGCTTTAAGTTTTGGGATGCTACTCTGGGACCCTAGTTGATGTTAGGTGCATAGCAGCTATTCATCAAAGTGGAACTCTTAATAGTTTGTGCCTTTGAAAAGCAATGCCAGGTAGTTTGTTATATTCACAAAAAATATGATATCAAGACTCTCCGGCTTTTACGCCTCCACTGAAATTTTTTTATTGTAACATGCATGCCAAAAGACAGCTGTATTTATGAAGCCTTTCAGGCTTGACTATTAAATAGTGCTAAGGCATTTTCTTTAAAAAAATACTTTAAAAAAATTAAGCATAAGACAATAGAGCCTGAATTTTTAAAAACTGTTTTTAAAATAATCTAATTCAAATAAACACACTGATTATTTAATAAACAAATAGCAATAGCACTTAGTCTTATATACCGCTTCAAAGTGCTTTACCACACACTTTAAGTGGTTTACAGAGTCAGCATATTGCCCCCATCACTTTGAGTCCTCATTTTACTGACCTCAGAAGGTTGGAAGGCTGAGTCAACCTTGTCTGGTCAGGATCGAGGTCAGGATCGAGAGGATCGAGGTCAGGATCGAGAGGAATTGAACTCCTGGCAATGTGAGCAGAATTAGCCTGTAATACTACATACCACTGCGCTACCGCAGCTCACACCTGTTCAAAACTGATCTTTCCTTGTATGTGGATGCCTATCAGAAGTACTTGTTATATTGGAGATTCCTCTCTCATATTGCTGAATGCGGTCTTGAATTGCTATATATCTTGTGCTCTGCAGAAGAGTAGCATGAAGTAGGATGCTCCTATTTCCAGATAATTTTCATTTCTTCTTCTTTTTGAGATTTTCAGTACATCTTCAGGTTACCATATAAAATTTCTTTTCTTCATTAAATAATAGGAGTTTAAATCGTAATTGTGTTTTAATGTGAATGTTTGTGGCTGTTTGATTTCTGTCTTTAATTATTTAAAATTTGTCTGATGTTTTGTCATATGCATTACTGATTTAGAAGGCAGTTAGCCTCTGTATGAAGAAGTAAAAGGTGATTAAAATGCTCTATTTTATTTGCAGACAATACTAATGAGGAAGAGTTGGAAAAGAACAAGTAAGGTAATTCTTGGCATGTAGCCTTGAAATAACTGATATTTTATAATTTATCACGTTGAACTTCAGGCTGTGATATGTAGCTTATTCTCTGTAAATTTTATTATTTTATTCTATGCTATATAATTATGACAATGGAATGGTCCTTTAATTACTAAAAATCCTTTATATATACTTTGGTAATAGCTGACATATAGAACTAAGTTGGTTCAGTAATTAAGGCTAGAAACCAGATGACTATGAATTTTAGTCCTGCTGTAAGCTTGAAAGCCAGATCAATGACTTTGGGCCAGTCACTCTTTCTTGGCCCAACTCACCTCACAGGGTTGCTGTTGTGAAGAAAGTAACAGGAGGAAGGAGTATAGGTATGTTAGGTATTTCTCTATTTTGAGAAATATAATATTTCTATTCTTTTTTGAAATGCAGATATGCATGCAACTTGATATATATATTTTAAAAGTAGACAAAAGTATAGAATGGAGCTTTGTTTTCACTGCTTGTTATATGCTCCAAGAAGTTTTATATCCATTTGTCACTGTATAATTTACCTCATACTTCAATAGTTTATTTTTAAAACATATAAAATATTTACACTAACGTTTTTTATAGTAAACTGCCTCCCTCAGTACTACTGTAGCGTCTTTTTAAGTTCACTATGCCTCGTAAGATATTGTTGCCTCCTCATTATTATAGTGCTTCACTATATTTTCCCTCTTTTAAATCATAAACTGAAATAAACACACAACAAAATCCCCTAATTTTTTATCATTCTGACACTAATATGATAAACGGTTAATCACTTCTGACAGCACCATCCATTGTTTTGCCTTTAGAAATAATTGCTATTTTCAACCTGTATAGATACATAAGGTTACGTTCTAGAACATTTTGCTTCTAGAAATCATAAATTCCATGCTAAAAATAAGGAACAAGAATCTAATACTGGTGGTTGTTGTTGTCATTTGGTACAAGTTTTTGTTGTTCTTGTCTGTTAGCAATCTTACGTCAGTTGATTCTGTTTGTGTACATTCCTATGAATAAAATAGCTTTTGCCTTTCTAGATACAGCTGTGTTGTTCTCTTAATAGTGTTAGAAGGTAGGATGAGGTATCTGACAATTGTTCCTAGATATTTGCTGTTTCTTACCATTCCTTCTGATTATTTAATTTTTATTTGGGATCCAATTCTGGCAAAATGACCACCCAGTAATTGTTGACATTACTGAATTTATAGAGGGTGGGTTGATGTTTTTTTTGCTTTTGCAGCTGATGCAGTGCCTTTCTTGAAATAAGACCAATAAAAATACATGTTTGTTTTCAGTATTAGAAAAAAGATTCATAGTTACCAGAAATTATCCATGAATAATTGTGGTGGGTTATTCTTGGGACATGAATGGGAGTTATTGTGTGATTTAATATACCTAAGAAGGAATTTTTCTGTTCTCAAATTCACTTTGCAGTTTGAACAGCTTTTTCTGCTTTTGCATTGACTTGTGAATAGTATGGACTCGTTCAGGGGCGGGATTCAGTTTTTTTAACAACCTGTTCTGTGGGCATGGCTTAGTTGGTGGGTGTGGCTTGATGGTCATGTGACTGGATGGGCGTGGCCAACTTGACATCACTCATGTCAAGGGGTGCTTCTCCTCGCCTGGTCTCTCATGACAGTGGGGATGCTGCAACGGTCATAAGTGTGAAAAATGGTCATAAGTCACTTTTGTCAGTGCCATTGTAACTTTGAATGGTTGCTAAATGAACTGTTGTAAGCCAAGGATTACCTGTACAAACATACAAAAAGCTTCTTTGCTTGCAAAAATTGCCCTAAATACCAATTATTAGATTAAAAATACCTGCAAGCCAGAGTTACAAATCAGGCAGGGTGCCAGAGCACCTTGAGGAATGAAAATAGTTAAAATTCAGTGATAACTATCAAGTAGCCAACTCTTGCTCAGAGTTTAGCAGAGGTCATTTAAGCTCTCCAGAAAAAGCACACCCAGGAAAAGCAATCCTTAGATCCATTTGCATTACTTAAAGATACCAGCTGGTCTCACTCACTCACCTCATAAGATATCCTAAGGAAATCATCCAGATTTAAGGAAAGGTCACATGCCCCCCAGAAAGGCAATAAAAAAAATCAGTGCCAAGCTTGCATCCTGCCTCTTGGAAGTATACCTCAAAAGGACAGTGCCAGATAGTACTAAAGCAGTGAAGGAAGACCCCTTCCCCAGATAGATAAAGAAACCATGAGGCAGGAAAAAATTCAAACACAATACAAATAATTAAATCACAAAGTAGCTGTTGCTTGTTGAAGCTGAATAGGGAAAATTATCCCATCAATAAACACAGGATTAAATGTCGCCAAGCACAGAATTAACCTTCACCAAAAACCAGTTTTAGACCAAAACTCAGAAAAAGTATGTAAACTCACGTTTGAATGTCAATCTTTCTAGCTAGCCAAGAAGCCTTGCTGAATGTCACTCATCTTGGTTCCCTGCCACTAAAAGGTTTGCTTCATTATTCGATTATTTCTTCAAAGTGCTGATTGTCCGGGAAAGTATTTCCTCCCAACAGCAGTGTAAAAATCTTAAAACAACCCTTCCCCTTTAAGAAAGCCAAGCCTCAGAAGCTCCGGAGACAGGAAGTCTAGGCTTTCTGCCAGGAATGTAATAAGGGTGGAAAAAAAACAAAAGGAGATTGCTTCTAACTACCGGTTCTCTGAACTGCTTAGAAAGTTAACAAGGGGTTCTATAGAACTGGACAGAACTGGTAGAATCCCACCCCTGAACTCGTTATAATGTTACTAAAGTTATACTTCCATACAAAAAGTATAAAATATTTTCTTGACAATTATGCAGCATTATCAATGTAGGAATTCATCAGGATATCATTATGTACTTGTATTTTTTGAGCAAGTAATAAGACTTGGTAGATTAGTTGTGGTTACAATCTGGAGAGAACCTGCAAAAATAATTTATGGCAGCTAAATATTTATGCATTTGAACTTCACAAATATCAGCTCTAACATCTCAGAGGATTTATTTTGAACTGCGTTTTGTTTTGCTGAAAAAACACCTTTTCACAAAAGTGTGTCTTTTCACAATTTGTTTTCTTTTGTTTCAGGTCTGTGTAGATGCCATTTTTTTATGTACTGGAATTACTGTCAAAACTACTCTTTTTTCCAATATTTAATTCAGTGATCAGTGTTAGATTAGAATTTTAGCATCTACCTGATTATTTTTATTTATTTAAATTGTTTATGGCTGCCTACTCCAAAAAACTTTGGATAGTGTACAAGAAAACAACCAAGCTCAGAGGACACCAAGGACTCCTCATCAACAACTTCACCTGTGCAGTTTGGGTTTGAGATATAAAGCTGGGTTTCACCAGTATACTGATGATAGCTAAGCATTAACCAATGAATGATTTTACCCAGCAGTTTCATGTAGATGTTAAATAGGAGAGGGGAGAGCATCAAACCCACAAACCCCACAAGTGAGGAGGTGCAGACATGATCTCTTCACACATTAACACTGACTAAAACTGACTTTTAGGAAGGAGGTTAATCACTGCCACATAGTGACTCCTAACCTCCAATAGCCAGGGGCTTATAGTATCAAAAACTGTTTGAGAGATCAAGGAGGACCAGGATGGATGCGCTCACTCCAGCTTCACCATGATCTTAGCTGATATGAAATTTTGTTGGCTTTGTTAATATTTAAATGAAGAAATTACCTCAAAATCCCAGGATTACTGACTAGACTCCAGTTTAACAAGAAATCTGTGACATTTTTATACCATCTACATCAGGGGTGTCAAATTCAAGGCCTGCAGGGTGCTTAGATCTGGCCTGCGGAGCCGCCCTGAAATAGCAAAGGATCGGCCCGTGGTGCCTCTGCCAGCGAAAATGGAGCTTTTTACTTTTACTTATATAATCTTGCATAGGAATAAATGTTCAAGAGCCAGTAGAGACAGTGAGGATTTGGGTAATCCTTATTCATGAATATCAGATATGTTCTATTCACACAATCAGGATTTAAGGCATAGTTTTCTGACAGATATTATTGTTTCCAAAAGTAGAGTAATACTAAAGACTAAGAAGCAATTGTTTCTTGCTAATCTAAAATCTTGTTTTCATCAAAGAAGTTTCCTAAACATTTAGACATTTTTGTACCTTTCCTATACATTTTCTTAAAATAATCATTCTGTTCTGAAAACAAATTACCAAGTTATTGTTTGCTTCTGATTTAGTATATGACAGTTCTCTTTGCACCTGAATTTTCAGACCCAGAGTGTACGTCTGTCAGACCTGCACAAAAAAGCTCAGCTATGGAGAGGAATAGTCAGTATCACTTTAATTGAAGGTTGTGGACTCAAAGCCATGGACCCAAATGGGCTGAGTGATCCCTATGTGAAATTTCGGCTGGGACATCAGAAGTACAAGAGTAAGGTAACTTTTGATTTTCTTAAACTATTTTTTAGAGACTTTAGTCGGGTTTTTTAAAATGTAACTTCAGCACTATTTTTGCTGAAATCACTATTTTTCTATTATGGTTTGTTGCATGGTCAGCCAGATGTTCAGACTGGATTTGGTATTTTTATCCAACTATCGTGTCCTTCCTAAGGGCTTGGGATAGGCAGATATGGATGTTTGATGGTGTTACAGATATTGTTATAAGATGTAAGCTGTTCTAAGTAAAGCCACCTTTTGCAATTGACTGGTGGTGATTTTGGCAATATCGATCTTGTCCAGTTGTTTTGGAATTGCACCCAAGGCAACTATTGCTATTGGTACTACCTTTGCTTTTTTTTTGCCACAGTTGTTCTATTTCTATTTGTATACTACTGCAATAATGAAATTTTGATTAGCCTTAATACTATGCAGTGTTAGAACTCTACATTTAAAGCTAGTGACTTAGTAAATCAAACCTCCAAATACAATTATATGATTTTAGACCTGGGCTTAATCAGATACTTGAGCATTGAGCTATATTCCACAAAATATAGATAAATGTTGGGTTCTGTAACAAGAAGTAGAAGAAGGATGGTGAAGAAAAGTGCAGAGGATAACAACAAAAGTAATGTAAAGTTTGGAAAATAAACCTTGTGAAGAATGATTAAAAGAACTTGATTTGTTTAGAACATAAAACTAAAAGAAAAACATAACAATAGTCTTCTAATATTTGAAAGGCCATCACAGAGAAGAGCATGTGGATTTACTCTCTATATGCCTGAAGGTAGGATAAAAATCAAATAGTGGAAGGTTTACAGAGAGAAATCCAAACTCAAAATAAAGAAGAATTTCCTGACAGTTATTAAGCAGTGAAACATATTGCCTTTTAGAATCATGTGTGCTCTTGTCATTAGATATCTTCAAACGAACATTTGATAACTGTTGGAATGGCCTTAAGATTTCTGCTTTGAGTAAAGGATGGGTCCAGAACAGGGGTTGCCAACCTTTTCGACCTAGGAACCATCAAACTCATAATTTTAAATCCCACGGACCACTAATATGAATTTTGACTGCGGTGGCTTGCTGACGTTTTCCCAAGGTCTCTGCAGAAAGCAGCAGAGACCCTGGGAAAATCCCCAAAAAAGTCTGCAGGAAAATTCCCCACCCCGTTTTCCTACCAATCGATCATTCTTTATTTGGGATCGCAGAATGCTGTCTCCAGCTCTGTTCTCAGGTGGGTGGAGGGGAGAGAGAGAGAGAGACTTTTGGCTTCATGCAAGGAAACCAGCAGAAGCAGCAGAAGTCTTTCTTTCTCTGCCCCAAACTTTACCAGAAATGAGTCTTTTTGAGACTTGTCACACCGGTGCAGCCTCTTGGAGCAGGATGCATTGCAGGGTCCCAAAGACTCATTTCTGGCGGAGGTTGGGGGAGAGAAAGAAATACTTTTGCTGCTTTCCTTGCGTGCAGCCAAAAGCAGAAGAAAGAAGTGGAAAGAAGCAGCCAGTGGCTAGGTGAGGCACATGGGGCATGTGAGGCAAGTTCCCCCCCTCTGCCCATTCCCCCTCCCCTCACTACCTTGTGTTTTTCGCAATGCAAGCAACACAAGCCTTGTGTTCCTGCGGGCCATGTGGGCGACACAGCCGTGTGTTCCCATGCAGCCTGGATTAATTGCTTTGGGGGATGCTTTCGGGGTGACATTTCTCTGTGGACTACCAAAATTTTCTCTTGGACCACCAGTGGTCCCCGGCCTACTGGTTGGCAACCAGTGGTCTAGAAGACCCCAAAGATTAATCCCATGATTTGTATGAGTCCACATTCTTACTGGCTTTTAATTTGAAGAAGAATACAGATAGTCCTCTATTTACAACTGCAGTGGGATACAGAATCTCAGTCTTGAGCAAAGTGATAATTAAGGGAGACACCCATGTGACTGCTTCACTCAACAATAGCAATCCTATATCTTGCAGTTATTAAGCAGAGTTCATTGGGGTAACTGCCGGAATCCTGACAGCAAGAGGGTCTGGACCTCCCAGGCATGGTGAGGGACAGAAAGGACCCAGCCTTCCCACTCTACTGGGAAGACCAGGGCCCTCTCTCCACCCACCAGGGAGAACAATTGTGGGAATGATGATATTTGTAAGCTTTTTTTTTGCTAGATTTGGAAATCCCTTAGTGCTCTGCAGAAGCAGACCTCAAATCTGGTGAAAACACTATCAGATGTCAGTGTTCTGGAAGACTCTGAATGCTGGCCTTCACTAGCATTTCCCCAAGATTTGAGGTCTGTTCCTCCAGCATTCAGCAGGATTTCACTTGCCTGCATAGACAGGAGGGGAAATTCTTTCGCATTTAGGGTAATGGACCTCAAATCCAACATCCTTGTCTACTTTCAACATCCTCTGCTGTTTTCCCCATTAACTTTCTGGGGAAGGCAGCAGAGAAAATTGCCAATTGTGATCACATGATTACAGAGCACTTGGCAACTTGTCATAAATACAAACGGTTGCCAATGTTTCAAAATGTCATGTGAAGGTAGGTGAACTGTGCTCCTGTCGGAGATATTGTTTTGGTCAGGAGTAAAAACTCTTATGTAATAAATTAAATAATACATTTTATGTAGTTTTAAGAATTGAATGAGGGATGTCCTATTTTATTTTTACATAATGTTTGTTTTTAATAATTCAGATCTTTTTATAGGTTTTTTTTAAAAAGAAAAGTACTGAGGAAAATTTTTTATGAATTTCAGATTGAAAAAGGTGTAACATCTGTTTCATTCTGTGTCTCCAAGCAAGAAAAAAGTTAAATCTATTTTAAGAGTTTGAAGGAGAAACTACTAGAAACTCATTATATCAGTTCTTTTGTGATATAAAAAGCAAATGTGCAATAAATAATGTCTTGTTATAATTGTCATACTTTTTGTGTGTTTTGAGAAAATTTTAATATGTTCTCAGTGAACATTTCAATAAATGTGGACAAATATTATATTTCCTGCTATCCAGAAGACAAATAATAATTTAAATCCAAAACTAAGTAGGTAAATGTATAACTATTAAAATAATCAAAATTCTATTTTGTTATTCTTGGAGATAAAAGGCATCAAGACTCAAGTTTTTTTCTCTCTCTCTAGATAATGTCAAAAACTTTGAATCCCAAGTGGAGGGAACAATTTGACTTACATCTTTATGAGGAACGAGGTGGAATTATTGATATTACAGTATGGGACAGAGATGCTGGCAAAAAGGATGATTTTATTGGCAGGTTTGTCTACAAATAACTTATAGTATGAGGATGAGCTTTGAAGAAGAGAACATATAATTTTGAATTGCTTGAAGTAAATTTTTGAATTTAAAAGAAGAAATAACATTTAGAAATAGCCTAATTTTGTAGGGAAATGGTTTTTTAATGTATTGATGGCAGATCATATCAGCTAAAATCTATCCCTTTTCAATATTATATTTTAAAAGATTTATGGTACAAGATTAGGGTTCTATTGGTAGTATTTGATAATTAACTCAGTTATTGGCTATACAATACTTTATATCCATCTAGCATCGTATATATTACATATGTAAGGCAGAATGTCAGCATCAGAAGCTGGAACATGATCTTTGATATAATATGGGCAGCTACAGGTTTTAAATAAATAGCAATAACAAGGTAGCATAACTTAGACTTGCATATCACCCCATAGAGCTTTACAGCACTCTGGGCAGTTTACAATGTCAGCATGTTTCTCCCAACAACGTGAGTCCTCATTTTACTGACTTTGGAAGGCTGAGCCCATCAGGATCAAACTCCAGACTGTGGGCAGTTTGCCTACAATACTGCATTCTAATCATTGTGCACCAGTGCTCCTCAGGTAGATGTAGTTCTTGAAGGGAGTCTATATGTTTTTTTGTTTTGATTCCAAATAACTTTTAAAATTAAATTGGAGGTAGTTCTTCTTCTTGAATTGGGTAGTTAAGTCCTGCTTTTTTGAAGTACTTTGCCTATTAACAGTTTGCTATCAGCCACTGGAATTGTAAATAATGTGCAAAGATAGATCTGCTTCTATACCCAGCTCCATATCCAGGTTATGTTGCTCATATGATACTGATTTTTTGGAGCACAAAATCTACTTTTTCTTTTTGACTTACTAGGTGCTGGTTGGGAAATACTTCTAAAACTCTGTCTCTTTCCCCACCTCCTTTTATGGTTGGAATGATCGATCCCCATAGGTAGAGGGATATAATGATAAATTGTGATTGTAGAAAAAAATGAATGTGTAGCCAAACATGTGTTGCACTCTGAACCAAGTTCAGATAGATTTCAGTTAACATCTCCGGTTATATATATTGAAACGTTATATACATTGAAATCTGATCAATAAGACTTTAGATGTCCCTGTTTCCATCCCAAATCCATCCCAAATCAGGATTGCCCTCCTCCACACTAACTCTAGAGTAGTCTTTAGAGATCATAGGCTGTAGTGAAAGAGGGGAACTTCCATCTCTTTGCTGGTCAGTCAACAAAAGGAGTTTGGTCAATATTAGCATTGGATCTCTTGCTATGAATTTTTGAAAGTTATACAAGGAAGTTAAAGGAACATTTCATTTCTAGTACTCTGTTTTCTAGCATTTCAACTTCATAGGCAGGAATATGATTCTATAAAATATCTGTTTTGCTGAATGATAACATAGATGAATTTGAAGACTTTGTCCTGAAAACATGAAGTAAATATAATATAGTTCATTTTGGGTAACTGCTTTCACAGTATTTCACAGCATTGTTGTAAACTTAACAACATGTTAAAGAAAATGTTTGTTTCTAGGTGCCAGGTTGACTTGTCAATTCTAAGCAAAGAGCATACTCATAAGCTAGAGCTGCCTCTGGAAGAAGGCGAAGGCCATCTGATACTGCTGGTTACATTGACTGCTTCAGCTGCGGTCAGCATCTCTGACTTCTCAATGAATGCCTTGGAAGATCTAAAGGAACGGAAAGAAATCCTAAAAAGATATGTATGCAGCATCTTTTTTTTACTCTTTTTTGCATACACATTATAATGATAAACAGTGAAATGTAAAAGAAAATGTAAAAGGAAAACTTACTTAGTTGCTTGCTTACTTACTTACTTGCTTACTTACTTACTTGGTTTATATGCTGCCATAATAGTCCTTCTCCCAGTAGCTATAAAACTATACAATACAGTTTTACCAAATGATAAAAATAAGGGATCAAATCCTGGATGAGATCCTCCTGGTCACAACTTCTGCCACTTATAGTAGTCCGGCGTCCAGAAGAGCCCACAAATCAGAGATCTATTCCTTCTAGATAAACCCCCCCACCCCAAAGGAAACAGTATGGATAAGAAACTAACCTATAAAGTACTAAAAATTGTTGAAGTCACTTTCCTTTGAAAATCAGTTTAGTATGGCCGCTATAGTTGTCTCTTCTTTCATCTGCCTGTTGCTCACTCTATTAGGATTATATATACAGTGTCTCATCTGTACTAACTCTTGTAGGTAGCTAGTTTATGGTAATAAAGATTATTCTGTTTATTTTTAATATACATATATGTGTGTACAAATGTAGTTTTACTTGATTTTCACTGAAATGTTAACTTCTTGTTGTAATGAAGACATTTCCTTACTGACTTTGCCAACAAGTAATGTCCTTAAGTAGCTGAAGAATTGAACTTTATATATGGATCAACTTGGTATTGTTTAAAACAAAGCCCTTCTTTCAGGGATTTGTTCTATTAGAATCAGATGTTTTGAGTAGCTTAGAAATCTAACATAAAGAAGTAATAAGGATACAAATGTTTAAAATCTGAATTGAATGTTTTGAAAAATAACCAGTCCTTGTATCATAAAAGCAATTGTGTAGTTTTAGTAAAGGAACAGCAAGGGGAGCTCTTACTCCAGCTTTTATTAATATTGAATTCACTAAAACTGACTTACCAAACACAAAGAAGAAAGAAGAAAAGCTATCTCCCCTAAAATTACAAAGCTTTTATTGTATAGGTCTGCCAGGTGTTTAGAAGTTATCTCTAGACACTGCATTTAAGCTAAACTCTGACTAACAGAGGTCTGTTTAATTTTTTTGTTTTAAAATATTCCTATTCTATGGTTGACATCCTCTCAATAAGCGAATTTAATAAAGATGTACCTTATCAGGCTGTGCAGATAATATGAAGTGCTAGTACCATTGCTGTACAATATTCTTCAAACAGATTAGCAGGATTTGTGCTGCAGCAAATTTATTCTACCTATCTCCACTAAATCAGCTGCCTGCAAATACTTGTACACATCATACACCAATAGTATTATCATAAACACAATTTAATAGAGGTAACTTAGAGCAAGGCTAACCATTATGTATTTAAAATCAAATAAGAACTAAGAAATGTACTAAATCATCTGAAAACTAATGATTACCAATATTATTTCAGATTTTTGTGTCAACTAAGGCAAGCTAATCTGTCAGACTATATCTTGGGAGATAAATGCATTTCTCAGATATTAATTTTAATGAAATATGCATTTTGGTCTCCAGTATACCAGAAAAACATGAAGCAAAGGATGTTCATTGTTCTGATTATCTTTTAATAATAAACAAATAACCAGTAAACCACAACTTTTGAACCTCCATCTCTTTTTTCTCGATTTTTTTTAGTTTAAGCAAATTTTAATAGAGAATAGCAACAGCATTTTTTAAAAAAAGTATGACATTGAAAAACTGATTTTCAATGTTTATTTCAGACATTAGATTGTTACTTATAGGCTGAATAACTTGGTTCATCAACATGAGCCATACATAGCTGCAATAATCCTGGATAAATAACAGCATCGTAGTATACTGTATATGGAAATAGCTAAATATTTTTGTAGCAAATCTTTAACCCTATATATTTTACAGGAAATCTTCAATATTAGTGTTGTTATCCTTCACTAAATCTGTAGTAAATATTACTGGGTAACTGACAAATTAATAACCTTTTTTTTACTCTAAAATTATTATTTATAAAGTTTTATTTTTAAAGTATTGAGAAGGAGATCTTTCTATTTAAAAATGTGTTTTGCCCTATTTTTGAGACTGAAAAGAGTAAATGCACTGACCCTGCCATCAGATCAAATAGTCTTGGAAAATGACTCTATTACTGTCATTTAACCATTTGTAGCAGAACATCAGAGCCCTACAAATTAAAGAGGCATTACCGTTTGAACCATTTTATCACAATTGTATGAAAAGATTAATTCCTTTTGGGATGGGAGGAGGGCCGTAATGGGTAGCAGACCAAAAGAGAGATTCTGTGACCTTTTCAGAACGGGTATCCTGAACCCCTGCTCCCCCTTGTCACAGTTTAAAAACCAGAGAAGCTAGTTTAGTGAAGAAGTTGTTAGCATTCCATTTTTATTATGACATTTCACAGTCATCCGATTTAATGTCCCTTGACCGGATTGTCCACCGTGAGACGATGGGGCTTGAAATGTTATTTAGAGCATTGATAAAAGGTGAGCAGTTATAAGATGACAGCGAGTCATAAGGCTGGTGGTGTGACATTAATTTTCTCCATAACAGAGATGGAATAAGACGTCATGGTGACAAGCTGTCAATCAGTGCTGGCCCCTCAGTGTATCTTGATGCCATAGGATAGGGTATTGGTTCTCCCATAATAGAGCTGAACTGAAATGCTCTTGCTGACAGCTGCTGCAGCTATACAGAAAATATATTATACAGCCTTTCATTAAAAAAATAAAGAGGACTCATCTCCAGAGCATTTCAATTTTTTCCCATCTATTGAGGGCTGAAAGGATTCACAGCAAATCATAGATTTCTGTTCTATGGAAATTTGAAGCCTCCAATACCATCTGGGTTTTGAGGCCTCCAACAGTCTTCATAAATAAGATGATTGATAATCATCTCATAAATCATTACTTTAAGTTGCATGTTTAAAGTAATGTATTAAAGTCATTTGCTTTTCACAAAATCCTACAATAATCTGCAGTATGTCATTGGCTGAGTTTGTCAGAAACGCAGTAAATTGCACTAAATCAGCTGACTAGCAAAATCTAAAAGTTCAAACTATAATTATCCCACTGGCAAATAATAGTGGACGAAATATTGCCAGGTCTTTTTAAATGAACGGAATGCACATATAGGTGAAAAGGTCGATTTTTGCTTTTCTTCTGCATTAACAGGAAATGCAAAACAAATGTAATTTCAAAACCACAAAAAAGACTTTTAATTTCACCATGCCTCCCTTGTTCAACGTAGCATGGAAAATATCTGTGCTAAATGCTAGGATTGACAAAAAATACCTTTTTGAGAACTATAATAAATGATAAGTAATGACAAACAGCATTTTTCTGTTGCTTTCTTTAAGAGCCAATTTTAAACCACATCAAGAAAAAAAAGGGAGATAGAAGGTGAGGTTGTCTCTCTGATTAAGAAAATTTCTAATAGGCAAATATTATGAAATTAAAAGTTAATAGATATAGTATTAGTGATCTTATAGAATGCTAGAGATATATGAAGATGCGCTATATAAACTACATTGTCTCAGCTGAACATTGTTTCTAATCTCTGAGATGTATATTATGGGCTTTGAGTCTCATTCTTATTTATAAATAGGCCTGTCTAATACATGGTTAAGATTTCAACTTTTTCAAGCAGAAAACATTTTTGTTAAACAGAATATGATTAAGAATTTAAAATTTGCATCATAATGGAAAAGAGCATTAATTCAGACATTTGTTAAAATCTAGGTTTGCTACTTTAATGGGATTTAACCTGTGAAAATGTTTAGAAATTCATTCTTTACCTCCTGTTTCCTGATTTTTTTAAAATAAATACTATTTTTAAACACACTTTTATAAAATATTTTAATTATACTGTATAAACTAATGGTTACATAGAATAATTATAAAACTATAGTTTTACACCATAATAATATACAAAATTTGAACACATGCTGTGTTTATGCAATTAAAACTTATTAACAAACTTATAAACAAATTAAAATAATTACTATTTTGTGAAGACTATGAGGAAGCTGTAGGGAATAAAGCTAAGTAATACAGAAATATGTTTGTGTGCGCATAATTTTAGTTTTGTTACAGATAACTCATAGAAACATTCCACTTTCTAAATTATTTCTCAAAAACCTGTGAAATCTCTGCTTTGTAGAATAGAAATACCTTAGGACCAAGATGTCATTTAATAAAATTATGGGACACTATTGCAATTAAATAATGATTTAAAATAAACAATAAATATTAAATATATTTTAAAATTAGACTTGTTAATTTATGTATTTGGTTTAGAACTGAATATTTTCTCTACTGAATGTTAACTAATGTTAAGGAATAAAAGTGGTATAGCAGGAAACAGTGGGTTCCATGCCAATGGAACTAGATGAGCTGCAGTTCCAAGGCAGTCAAGACATCAGTCAAATACCTGCTGACTCAGAAAAGTTGACCCAAGAAAAAGAACCCTAGAAATTAAATCCAGGATCCATACATATATAAAAGCTTTGACATCTGTGTATTGCAGTGGAAACATCTACATATTTCTTTTTGGATTCTTTTTGTCTACAGCTAAGACTAATCCTGCCAAGCTGTGACCATGAGCCTTTTTGCCAAGCAAGACAGTTCCAGAATAAAACGTTGAGTCAGACCTAAGTGGAGCTTCACAGTTAGGATATATTAGAAACATGTGATGTAAGCCATCAGGGCAACTTGGAACCTTTAAGAGGGAATGGTCTCCTCATATTTTGCTTTTTTTATGACTTCAGTGTAATTTCCTACATTTTGTGTATGTTTCTAGAACCTAATGCAGATGTTTCAAAACATAAAGGATGTGGGATTTCTCCAGGTAAAGGTCATCAGAGCAGAAGGTTTGATGGCAGCTGATGTTACAGGCAAGAACTATTTCCACTTTTATGCTAATCAGTAACCACTGACTAATTTTATAACAT